TTGAAAAACACAATAAAGCGTTAAGCACCGTGACATCGGTTTAAAATAAAAAAAAAAAAAAAAAAAAAAAAAAAAAAGAAAATATGGCAATTCACTATTATAGTAATTCAAGAACTTCTATAGTAATTTTAAGTTAAAAGTTTTTCTTTATTTATATTTCAATGCGAGACATTAATTTTAAATAAATAATCATATATACAAATTTGAAAAGAATACAGTAATAATTTCTAACACGGCACAAAAAATCTTTCTGCATTAATGACCCTCTAAATGGTTGCATATTGATGTTAATAATGTAACACAAAAAATTCTTCAATAAATATTCTAAATAGACCTATGTAATTTCTATATTCGTACCAACAAGATTAAAAAATATAATACCAATATACCCCAAAATAGTAAGTAGCATTAGTAACAAAACTAATCTCAAAATTCAAATAACAAGAACTTTAACAAACCCTTCTATAGTCTTAAACATGTTGAGTTAGATAAAATGAGAAAACTGATTAATTCTTTTTTACAGAATTCTTGTTTGATATGAACCTATTATTAACTATGATTAAATAATTAAAATTTTTTAAAATAATTAAAAATTCTTCAAGTCCGAATCTTGCAATTGCAGATATTATTGTAATAATATCTGCAATATTAAACCTTAATTGCATGATTTAAAATAGAGATTGGATCCAGAACAGCTATATTATAATAAATTACCTGGATAACTCGGGCAATTGGATAATACTGAGTAAGAATTTTTTCAGAGGGTCCAATCCTTATTTTTAAAATTGTGAAAATATATATAGGTAAATTATTTTCTTTCACTTTCATTAATTTACTTATATCCAATATCACGTTCAGAATCTTAATAATGTCAACATTAACTTACCTAATTACTAATTCTTTAGAAGAATTCTCCCATAAAAATGAAAAGCATATTGATAATTTCAAAGGAAAACAATTAAAAAATGAAAGCTTGAATCAGTTCATAAATACCTCAATGAGCTTAATGATGAACTCAAAGCTTCCAAGTTCTGCAAGTGATGCAAAGAAGACGTGTCAGTTTACATCATCTTGACTTGCAAGCCAATAAATTTTTTTATTCAACCATTGAATCGCACTGTATTGAGTCTTTAAATTACGATTTAATGCGATGAATAGTTATTAACAAACAACAATTTTCAATGGTTGAAAAGGAGTTGTTTATAAAATTCATCCCAAACTTTAATCCATATTACAAGATTCCTTGCAGCCAAATCTTCTCCACGAATATAAAAACATATTTTGACTTAGCAAAAGTAAAAATTAAAGAAACCTTAAAGAACAATAAAAATAAATTAGCACTTTTCTTAAAAGTTTGGACAGCACATATACAACAACACTTTCTTGTAGTTACTGTCAATTGGGTCAACACTAAGTAGGAAAAGAAAACTCACCTTCTTGACTTCATTCCCTTACCCGAAACCTATACAGAAAAATATATTGGTGAAAAAATTCTTGAGCTCGTTAAAGATATGGGAATAAAAAAACAAATAATTGGCTTTATAAGTGATAATGTAGTAAATGATTTGAGTAACCCAATCTGTCTAAATTTTCTTCAAAGAACCATAAATTTTGACCTTAAGTATATGTACTGTATTGCATATAGTATTAGTCTTATTGCTAAAGCTGATCAAAAAAAATATTTTAATCAAATTCAGAAGGTTTGGCATTTTTGTAATAAAATAAATTCACTTTCGGTCCTGAAGGAAATGAAAAGAATTTCTGCTATCCTAAAGTGTCCGTTCTATCATTCTTTAATTGATGTTGAGACAAAATGGACTTCCATCTATTTGATAGTTGAAAGGCTCTATCAAATCTGATCCATTACTGATAGCCTTATTATATCTCGTCCAAGCTTAAAAAATGATTATTTAGAAGTTGATGATTGGATAATTATAGAAAAAATGATACCACTTCTCAACCCATTTTATACGGCAGCTTTGGTCCTTTCAAGTACTTCGCAACCCTCCTATGGATCTTCACGATTAATTATTTTGGGCCTTTCGATGCATCTTAATCAATATACTTTAATTAATATACATAGCGGAGTAGCAAAAGAAATGAAGAATAAATTACAGGAATACTGGACTTATCTTTTAAAGTCTTCCGTTATTTCAACCATTCTTGACCTGTCGACTAAGTTAGAACCACTTTATGAAGAAGATCGTAAATTAGCCATTATTCTGTTAAAAGGTATATATTCATCATATAAAACAAATAATTCAAAAACAGTTACTAGGTCTAAAGATCCATTAGAAATTTTTCGAATGCTTATGAATTTAAGTGAAAATAAAAAGAAAAGTGAACTGGAAATAGATGAGCTAGAAGTTTACCTTTCTCTATCACACGAGCCAGGAATAGATCCATATTCGTGGTGGAAAGAACATGCACTACAGTTTCCAGTAGTCTCTTCTATTGCGGCAGACCATTTTGCCTTGCAAGCGTCAAATATTCCTTGCGATCATGCTTTTTCAGTTATAAAGGATACAATCTTGCTGTTGGTGATCTTGAGGAAACAGTTAAAGTTTCATTACTTCTAAAAAATTGGTTCGAGGAGAAGATTATCGAATAGAAGTCTTTTTTTTGTTATCATATCTTTGTACAACTTAAATAAATCTATCATATGACTAAAATTTATAGCAATTTTTCGTATGTACGTACCCATGAGAAAGAGACTAATTAATTAGAAAATCAAAATTCTGACGTTGTCACTGTGTAAAGACACCTTTAATTAAATATTTTGTGTTTATAGAATTAAAAAAGAATAAATATTACGGAAGAAATTAAAGGCGAAAGATGGCAACTTCCCTATGGTCTTTACTATTGCGTGCAGATCTTAAAAATTTTAATTATAAAAAAATTCGATCCATGATTTTCACTATGCACCTGCACTTTGATATGCATTTGACACCCTAGTCGACGAAGCTAGCTAGTTACAAGATGGTATAATGGCTTCTTATTTATATTATATTTGAAAAACTTTCTTTTTAACTCTCCTTTATTATTCTGTATTATTTTCCTTGTATATATATTTATGTTCGCATTCAAGGATTCTTATACCTAAACAGGCATAAGGATTATTATGTATTTATTGTCTGGCTTAACTGGATTTTTGGCGCCAAAAAAAAAATAAGGTTTAGTTCAAGCTTGTGCATTGTTGTACAAGATAATTTTTGTTATACAGAAATAATACATTAGTCACAAGCTCGTATAAGGTTATTCTTTATCAAACATTAAAATAACAATAATTATTCGTGTATTAATTGCAGAACTAATATAATTAGTTACTTTTTTTTTGAAGTAGATAAACTTTGAGAACTTTAATAAAATATTTAATAATTAAAAAAATTCCTGATGCATCTTCTCGTAAGCTATATTAAGTCTATGCAAATTGAAATAGTTTATGAATGGATAAATTAATTTAACGAAAAAAAAATAATTATATATATATATATATATATATACTATATATATATAATATATGCTAATGCTTACACCATTTCGTCTTTCAATCTTGTTCTATACTTTTCAACATTACTAAATTGATTCTAGCTGTCGTCTCGGCACGATCAAATAAAATAATGAGTGATAATAAATATAGTCCAATCGTAATGATGTAGTTGTAAATAGATACTGTATCAGAATTTATTAAATTTAAAAGTAACCATAATAGTTTTTAAGATCCTAAAACATTACTATCTTTGATATAAAAAAATATTAAACTATATGATTCAAATCTAATAAATTTAATAAATAAATTAATATTGTAAAGAATTATTTACATGATTAAAAAAAAAAAAATAAAAAAAAAATAGTGTGTTAAAATTTTTTTAATTCACATGTGTCTATTGCAATTTGAAATGATCAAATATGGATTAATTATTTATAACCACCATTTCTTGTCATGATTTTTGACCACTTTGACCATTTTGACCATTTTGACCATTTGAACTATTCGTACCATTTGTACCATTTGGATTAGAAGAGGAAGCTGATGGTGGGTCAGCAGGCCAAATACCATCTCTTTTCCACCCGCTGACCAGTATTTTAATCTGTGAAATAAATAATAATAAGTAACAGAAAAAAAAATATTTAAAATTTGAAATTGCTCATAATGTTGAATGAAAAAAAGAAAGAAATTAAACCGCATACACACCACGTAAGGTAAAGGAACAGGTTTTACTAGTTTTTTCTTTTCATAAACCAGAGAATCATATATGGAATTATAATTATTTGGGGTAATGCTCATCAAAGCTGGATTATTTCTATTATCAGAAGTTCCTGAAATGTTCTGATTCCCGCGAGTCCATAATTCTCTTCGTTTGTTCCAGAATTCCAACCCTTCGTTCACAAATTCACTTGTAGATTCCTTATCCTTATCCTCTATTGTAGCTTCTTGTGATGACGTGCTTTGCACTTGTGTTTCTTGAGATAGAGTTTCTTTTAAGTCCATTTTATCTTGAGTAACCTCCGTCGGAACATAATTGTAAGCATTCATTTAAAGATAATTCGACTTTTTCTTATTTTAGGTCAAAATATAATGATTTTAAAGGGCTTTTTGGTTTACAATTTTTTGATTGGAAGATTTTTTATTATAAAATACCCCCATTGAGATTTGGATCGACAAAAATTGGTCTAAATTCGTGATTATCTACATATTTGCATTATATATACTTAAGTCCCCAATGTGTAAAAGTAGAATTTAAAACCTTAGGAAATTCTTTTCAATCCTTTTTCCTAATACATAAAAAAAATTCTTTACTATAAAGTATTTCTCAATTAAACATGTGAAAAAAATGTCTGCTCAATCATTACCTCAAACAACTTCAAGACGACTTCCGACAACTTATCATTCAGTTCACCCTGGTTTTTATGCAAGAAAACAACAAATTCTAGCTTCTTTAATAGACCCAACAATTACTCGAACTGATAATAATAATAATGTTAACAAATATTCTTCATCTAAAGGTTCTTCTCCATTAATCGATGAACCAATTTTTCCTATAATTGAATTAATTAACAAACATGATGATTATATCGTAACGAGTAGTTGTTCTGGTAAAATTTCAATTATTTCTACCAGTTCTAATAATAATAAATGTAAAAGTTCAAAGAAATCCATCTCCGGTAAGGTGGAATCTTTAACTACATCTGGTAATATTAATTATGGTGAACCTGAAAATGGAGTTGTTTATAAACATCAAGATGATTTAGATGATGATGATTCATATTTAAAATTTGGAGGTGGTGGTGGAAAATTATTATTTATCGCTCATTCGAAAATTAATTTACCTAAAGAAAAAGATTTAATTAACAATTTTTTATTAAAATTGATTTTTGGTGATGAATTTGAGAATGTAATAACATCTAATAATGAAAGTTATGATTTATCACAAAATAATAATTATAACTTGATTTATTTCAAATTCGATCCAATGGTTGGTATTTAATTTTTTTTTTTTTTTTTTTCTACCCCCATTACAGACAGCATTATCTTTTCACACAATTTTCTTTTTAGATTTTACATGCTGAAGCTCGTACTTTAGATGCTGCAAAAAACCTTGTTAATTTGGCCGTTGAAATCGGTTACCGTGATTCTGGTCTATTGACTACCTCAAAAAGGCATATGGCAGCAATTCGTAATTCTATGAAACTTGAAACTCCAATTGCGTATTTAAATTTATCAACTCAAAAAATTCATCTTTTGGTTGAATTATCTTATTTGCATTTACTTATTAATCTAAGTAATCAAAATTTTGATGAAATTCTAAGGAAAATTAATGATTTATTAAGTACGCTTGATAATAATCTTTTTAGAGGTATGGGAAGTGGTGATGATGGTGTTAAAAAATTATCAAAGGATGGTGGGAAAACATGGGATCATAAAGAAGAAAGGAGAGAACGAAAAAGAAGAGATGTATTAACTAGACAGATTGGATTAAGAAAAAGTGGTACTCTAAGCGATGGAAATGATGGTGATGTGTCAACTGTTGATGACGAAAGTCAAGGCTTAGATAATTTGGATAATGTGTGAAATTTGATTTTTTTTTTGACTATAAATATAACAGATTATTGTTCGCGTTCATCTTGTAACTTTATCCAAACTCAATTTAGTTTTGGGGTTCTCTTACAGTATATTAATTGATTATAGAAGATTCAAGTTTTAATATCAACGTTTCTCTCATGCACGAAATTATGCCCTATTAAATACCTTTGTTATAATTATTTTTAAAAATTCCCATTATGTCGCGTACGCTTTTGAATTACGAATGATCAACTATTTCAAAAATTTTTACAGAAGAGACCATCCAAGAGGACTAGGGTTGCACCGGTCCGATCCTTAGCAGGACCGACTACATAGTGGTAACGGTCCGGTCTGGTCCTTCGGTCCCTTAAGCCGTAAGGTTTTAGTCGGCTGGCTAAGCCAGCCGACTAAAATATCGGCTAATCGGCTGGCTAACAGTTGACAAATGCTATACATCGGAAAATTTCGGTAAACTTCCGAAAATTTGGCCTTCCTTTTCGGAATTTACCGGAATCCTACTATATACTTAATTATATGATCTTTAGCCACATTAGCCAGCCGATCATATTATATTGGCCGGCTAAGCCAGCTTAGCCGCGGCTGCCATAGCCGGCTTAAATTACTAACAAAAGGATAAAAAATAGAAAAGATATATATAAAAGATATAAAATATATAAAATATAAATCTCTAATTATCTAGCTAACTATTGGTCTGTTCTTTATATATTATAGCTTGTTATGATCATGGGAATCTTCTGGGTCTCATGAAGATATCTAATCCATTCTATAACATTTCTATACTCTTTCAGAATGAACTCCATGAGTTAGCAATATCAAAAAGTCTTGGTCTAATAATATATTAAAACTACTAAGTAAGAGAAATTAGATATAGTATAGTTATGACAATTTTCAATTTTAAAAGACTTGGTAAACTCGTTTGGCACATTTCAAATATTGGTAGTATATATGTTTAGGTCTTAAGGAGATTTTAAGAGTTTTTCTAATTTTTTTAATAACTTTAAAATCTTTCTCAAAGTTAAATCAAAGTTTTTTTAAATATTAATAAGCTTTAAGTATTTAAACTTGTTTTTCTCTTTGGTTTTTTCTAGTTTCTTAGTTTAAACAAGTAAAAATTTTAGTTATTTGATTTGTTCAAGTAGAGTTAACTAAAAGTTAGCTCTAAAAGAGATATTAGAACTTCAAATAGTCAAATCTTTTAAAATCTTTTCTATATCTGTTTCTGTTACTAAAGCTACAAATATATTATTTTCTAAATAAACAAGGTTATCAAGATTTGGTATTGGTAAGTATTTATTAAGCAAATTATTTTGTGTCTAGATTACTTCTATTTAAGATATTAACTTTATTGGTAAGAATAACTTGATTTTTAGTAATTACAAAAGTATTATTCAAGAATAGAGAGTTTTAATTTTAAAAAGAAATAAATTCTATTAAGATAGCAAGAGTTTCAAAAAGGAAGATTAAATTTTTCATATTGGTCTTAACTATTAAAGAAAGAAATTTTTAAATTATAGGTAGAAAATTTAAATTTGTAACTTTATATGAGGTGGAGTTAATAAAAAAGAGACAAATTATTTTTAGTACAATTTTTTTAATTTTTTAAATTAAAATATTTCAACAATTAATTAATCAAATTTGCTAATTTTTTTTTTATTTTAATTTTGAAAATATATAGAATTAAAATAAATAAAAAAATTATAAAATTTAATAAGATAATTGCTAAAATATTTAAGTCAAGAAAACTTTTACTTAGAAAAAATTTGTTTCTTTTCTATTAACTTCACCTTATATATACAGTCTAATCTCTCTATAGTCACCTCCTATAAGTATATTTTCTTTATAAACATATTTTTTTTAAAACATACTATTATTAAATATAATAAATTTGACCTTTATAACTATTACACTTCTTTACAATCATATATTTTTGTATTCCAAGTGTGTGATTATAAAAGGTTTGACTGTATACTAAAATAAATTTATACTAAACTAATTTAAAAATATAAAATATAAATAAAATATAAACAAAATATAAATATAATATAAATTAATATAAA